AAGAAGCTCTACTCTTGGTTTTACAACCCAAACTACCAAAACTAAAAGGAAACAAAGGATCTTGAGGAAATGAAAAGGAGAAATATTTCACCTGTAGAAATTCATCTAAAATCAGCTCAGGAAGCCGGGCATGGTAGCTCACGCCTGTAATCCCAGCAATTTGGGAGGCTGAGGCGGGTGGATGATTTGAGGTCAGGAGTTCAAGACCAGCCTGGCCAACATGGTGAAACCCCGCCTCTACAAAAAATACAGAAAAAAAATTAGCTGGGCATGGTGGTTTATGCCTGTAGTCTCAGCTACTCGGGAGGTGGAGGCAAGAGAATTGCTTGAACCCAGGAGATGGAGGTTGCAGTAAGCCAAGATCATGCCATTGCACTCCAGCCTGGGTGACAGAGTGAGACTCCATCTCAAAAAGAAAAAATAAAATAAATAAATAAGTAAATAAATAAAATGGGTTCAGGGACTTCTCTGAGTTGCTGTGTCCCTCTCTAGTATCGCATCCTGAAATCATATTTCACATTTCACCTTTGAGATTCCCTGTGCCCTGCATAACCTCCTTCCCCTCTGTGACTTCCAGTGATGAACCTGGCTTAATATTTAAGTATTTTAAGTAGGTTAGCACCCCATTCCTAGCAAGTATTTTCTTTTTTCTTGTTTTATTTTTAGACAGAGTGTTGCTCTGTTGCCAGGCTGGAGTGCAGTGGCATGATCTCAGCTCACTGCAACCTCTGCCTCCTGGGTTCAAGCGATTCTCCTGTCTCAGCCTCCCGAATAGCTGGGACTACAGGTATGCGCCACCACGCCTGGTTGATTTTTGTATTTTTAGTAGAGATGGAGTTTCACTATGTTGGCCAGGATGGTCTCGATCTCTTGTCCTCGTGATGCACCTGCCTCGGCCTCCCAAAGTGCTGGGATTACAGGCGTGAGCCACTGCGCCCGACCTCAGCAAGTATTTTCTAACTTGTGATGCTAATCCATTAGAAATAATTAATAATTAATACTTAGCAGGAGTTAGCATTTTTATTATATGCTTTTGGAAGTGTGAGTTGTTTAGTTTACTCTTCATAGTTTCACATTTTTCTTGAAAGAGAGAGAAGTATATTTGTAACATATGACTCTGCTCTGATTTGACATGGAAAGATCCTTGCTATCCAAAAGTCTTGATTAATTGTATATGTTATTAGTTATATTTTCATTAGTGAAAACCATGTATCACTCATTTTTTTTTGGATGGAGCTTCGCTCTTGTTGCCCAGGCTGAAGTGCCATGGCATGATCTGGGCTCATTGCAACCTCTGCCTCCCAGGTTCAAGCGATTCTGCTGACTCACCCTCTCGAGTAGCTGGGACTACAGGCACACACCACTACGCCTGAATATTTTCTGTATTTTTAGTAGAGGCAGTGTTTCACCATGTTGGCCAGGCTGGTCTTGAACTCCTGACCTCAGGTGATCCACCTGACTCAGCCTCCCAAAGTGCTGGGATTACAGACTTGAGCCACCGGCCCTGGTAATTACTCATTTCTTAATACTGTGAACATACAGTAGAACTTCTTTTCACCAATAACAAATTACTTTTCTTAATTGCAGCTAAATTTCATTGACTTTGATCCCTGCAGTTAGTATTAGTAATATCATATCATTGGCAATCATACAAATGTATGCATATAATTATTTTTAAAGGGTATATGAAAATTAATCATCATCACACTCTAAACAATGTCATAAAATAATGTTATGACCAACATTTTGACTTTGCATGGACTAGTCGGCTGGAAGGGATAGTGCACTGCAGGCCATTGGACACCTTTGTGAGCCTTAGGAAAAGGCGCCCCCTTTAGGAGAAAGTACCCTTGTGGATGAGGCCAGGAGAAGCCAGGGGCGCTTGGGCTAGTCCCTCGCCTCCTGTACTTCACCTCCCTTGGGCAGGGTGCAACCTGCACAGCCACTTGCAGAAACCCTGAGAAGGAGCCTCAAGGGTGATTCAAGGCAATAATCTTGCTGTATTGGAAAAGTGGTGGCCTTGACATCATATAAATCAGGGCTGAAGTCTTTCTCCATTACTTATTAGCAATGAGGCTGAGCAAGTTCCTTAAATTCTCCAAACCTAAAATTACCCATCTGTTAAAAAAAAAGATACTAATATTTATCTTGAATAATTGTTGTCAGAATTAAGGAGAAAGTGTGCAGTGCCTGGCCCACATAAGATAATGAATGACCTCTGAGAGGAAAGAACTTAGTGTTTTTCTAAGCTCTCAAACTACTCTCAACGACAATTAATACAGCAGACTTCGATGACCAAATGTGGGGAATTTCCCTCCATCAACCAATAAGCAGTCAGCTCTGCAGCAGACACCAGCTCTAAGACAGTTCTGACACTATCTACCTGGTGATAGCATCAGGTCCCATAGGCTGAGAGCTCAGTCCCCAGAGTTGTCCCTCCTTCCTCAGACACTAGTCGCAAGTAGCCAAACCCACAACTTTGGGTTTGGCTAATTTGCTGGGGCAGCTCACGGAACTCAGCGAAACACTTCTATTTACTGGTTTATTACAAAGGATATCACAAAGGATACAGATGAAGAGACGCATGGAGCAAGGTATGGGAGAAGGAGCGCGGAGCTTGCCTGCTCTCCCTGGGTGCACCTCCCTCCAGGAACCTCCACGTACTCAGCCATCTGGGAGCTCTCCAAACCCAGTTCTTTTGGGTTTCTGCTGAGGCTTCATTATGTAGGCATGATTGATTAAGCATTGGCCATTGGTGATCAGCTTAACCTTCAGCCCCTCTTTCCTCCCAGAAGTCATGGGTGTGGGTGGGGCTGGAAGTCCCAACCCTCTAATTCTGCCTTGGTCTTTTCCTGTGACCAGTCCCCTTCCTGAAGCTACTATTTATTTACTCGTAAAATGACCACATTAATTATAGTCAAGATAAAGGAGCTATATTTCCCTCTGTGCATTTGAAAATAATGCAAGTGAATTTTGTGATCCAGATACTTAATCTCCCTTCTTCCTGCCCCCACTCTCAACCTGCTAAATTCCATATAGGAATCTCATTTACAGTATTCCTGAGAGATGGTCTTTCAGACTAAGCCTGATTATTGCCAGTAACATTATGGTTGCCACCTGATAGCTCATAGTTTAAAGACATTATAGATACTTCTGAAACACTTTCAAAAGCTGTGGACTCTGTCACAGAAAAAATGCAGATGCGTACAAAAGCCTGCACTTTGACTTCTTGAAACACATCTGGCTGGGCGTGGTGGCTCATGCCTGTAATCCCAGCACTTTGGGAAACGAGGAGCATGAATTGCCTGAGGTCAAGAGTTTGAGACCAGCCTGGCCAACATAGTGAAACCCCGTCTCTACTAAAAATACAAAAAAATTAGCTGGGCGTGGTGGCGGGCACCTGTAATCCCAGCTACTCGGGAGGCTGAGGCTGGAGAATCACTTGAACCCAGGAGGTGGAGGTTGCAGCGAGCCGAGATCCTGCCATTGCATTCCAGCCTGGGCGACAGAGCAAGACTATGTCTCAAAAAAAACTGAATTCACCCTGCCCCCTTCTTCTTTTTTTTCTTTTTTTTTGTGAAACAGAGTTTCACTCTTGGCATCCAAGCTAGAGTTCAAAGGCGTGATCTCGACTCACTGCGACCTTCGCCTGGGTTCAAGCAATTCTCCTGCCTCAGCCTCCTGAGCAGCTGGGATTACAGGCATCTGCCACCACACCCAGCTAATTTTTGTGTTTTTAGTAGAGACGGGGTTTTACCACGTTGGCTAGGCTGGTCTTGAACTCCTGACCTCAGGTGATCCACCCACCTCAGTCTCCCAAAATACTGGGATTACAGGCATGAGCTACTGTGCCTGGCCCACTCTGCCTGCTTCTTGGCATGATAGTCTGCATATGACTGAAGGCAGTGATCAGTTCAAAGGCTATGGCCCTGATGACTTTTTATTTTTATTTTTGGAAATAGAGAGAGAAGGTCTCCCTGTGTTGTCCAGGCTGAACTCCTAGACTCAAGCAGTCCTCCCTCCTTGGCTTCCCAAAGTTCTGTAATTACAGGCATGAGCCACCACGCCTGGCCACTGTGCTAACTTTTCAAAGAGCTCCATCACAAGCCTGCTCAGTATGTTTCATCCCCAGCTGTTGGGAGAATGAAATGTCTGGAGGGCAGGGATTTTTGTCAGCTCACTGCTTTAGTCCCAGCACTACATCAATATCAATACTGTTGAGTGAATAAATGTACCAAGATCCTCAGACACTTGTAATATAAACTGTTGTCAGATTTTCTGTATTTATGTTGATTTTTTAAAAACCCATCAGCAGGACTTTGTGTTCAAACTTGATATGATATTGACATTTCCTCTTGTTTTCAAGACAGCTTGGCAGTCTCTCACTATCTTTTGGATCCATCTCTTATCACATTAACTGTCTCTTTTGGATCTGTCTCCTATAACGTAACTGTCTCTTCTAGCCATGTGCCATCTGCATCTTTGGTGAGTGACATCAGTCCACTAAATAGTGCTGAAACTATGCCTGGGATGTGGAAAAAGGGCTGAAAGGGGCAGGTGAGCCCAGCAAGGAATTATAAAGAAGAGATGACATGAGCACTTCCTGAAGTCACCAAATCAGGTGTCATTTTAGATGGAGCTAATTTGGGGGATTAGATAACTTAAAAAAAAAAATTTCCCAGATTGGGCATGGTGGCTCATGCCTGTAATCGCAGCACTTTGGGAGGCTGAGGTGGGTGGATCACTTGAGGTCAGAAGTTTGAGACCAGCCTGACCAACATGGTGAAAACCCATCTCTACTAAAAATACAAAATTAGCTGGGAGTGGTGGCACACACCTGTAATCTCAGCTCCTTGGGAGGCTAAAGCAGGAGAATTACTTGAACCCTAGAGGCAGAGGCTGCAGTGAGCTGAGATCGTGCCATTGCACTCCAGCCTGGACAACAAGAGCAAAGCTCTGTTTAAAAAAAAAAAAAAATCATTTTCCTTTTTTTTCCTTCAGATCACATGGGTAATGTGCGGATGTCATAACAAGGTTCCAGGGTGGCACCTCTCACACACGTGCATGAAAACTCAATCATCATCCTCATGAACTACAAAAGGATCACATTAGATAACATTTGCATGACATGAAGATAGGAGACCTGGGAAAGGATTCATCCCAGCTAGCATCATGGGAAAATTAGTTCATATAGTTGTGTACCTCTGTTAGTCAGGGTTCTCCAGAGGAACAGAGCCAACAGGCTCTGTGTGTGTGTGTGTGTGTGTGTGTGTGTGTGTGTAGTAACAGAGAGAAAGAGGGGGGTATTTTAAGAAATTGTCTCACATGACTCAGGAGGCCAGCAATTCCAGAATCTTGAGGCTAGGTGGGCAGGCTGGAGATCCAGTGACAGTTGCAGTTTGAGTCCAAAAAGTCTGCTGGCAGAATTCTCTCTCCCTCAGGGGAGCTAGGCCTTTTTTCTATTCGGGCTGTCAACTGATTAGATGAGGGAATTACCATCCGATTACAGATGGTAATCTGTTTTACTCAAAATACACAAATTTAAATGTTAATCTCCTCAAAAAATACCTTTGAAAAAACATCTAGAAGTGTTTGACCAAATATCTGGTTACTGTGGTCCAGCCAAGGTGACACATAAAATTAACCATTCCAGTGGCACTTAGGAAAACTCAACACAAAACAGCTGAATATCTCCAACAGGTGATGAAAGCAACATTCTAGTCCCATTGAGTACTCACACGCCTCTAAGCCCTCGTTGAAATTTCTTTTTCTTTTTTCTTTTTTTTTTTTTTGAGATGGAGTCTCACTCTGTCACCCAGGTTGGAGTGCAGTGGCATGATCATGGCTCACTGCAACCTCTGCCTCCCAGGTTCAAGCAATTCTTCTGTCTCAGCCTCTTGAGTAGCTGGGACTACAGGTGCGCATCACCACGACTGGCTGATTTTTGTATTTTTAGTAGAGATGGGGTTTCACCATATTGGCCAGGCTGGTCTCGAACTCCTGACCTCACGATCTGCCTGCCTCCACCTCCCAAAGTGCTGGGATTACAGGCATGAGCCACCATGCCCGGCCCCTCCTTGTAATTTCACACCCTATGCCCAGCCTCCTTACTGATGCATCCTGGAATGCCCTTCTCCAACCTTGCTTCCTTCACCACTGGAAAAATCTACTCATCTTTCAAAGCTCAGATCAAATGTTCACACTGTGTTGCTTTCTTTAATACCACATCCCATCCCCAAGATTTAATTCCCTCCTTGGTCCATTATGGCTGTTCTATTATCAGGTTGGTGCAAAAGTAATTGCTGTTTTTGCCATTAGGACCTGATGAGTTAATAAATGAGTGAGAACAGTGTCTTGCACATAGTAACCACTCAAAAAATGGCAGTTATTTTCATTCTTAGTGTTACCGTTGCTGAGTGCTATGTCATGCGGAAAGATTAGGTGTTTCTGGAGGGCAGGAACAGGAACAGTATCATATCCTCTGAGAATTCTTCCCCACTCACCAGCCCAATATTGTATGGAATTGACCAGGGATCTACAGACACTTACTGGAGTCTGTAGTATCTTATATTTGTCAAGTGCTCTACAGAATGCAGAATCTGGCAATATTATCACCCATTTAAACTTCACAACGGCCTTGGGAAGTTGTTACTATGCTTAAGCTGGCAAGTGGCAGAGTCTCCAGCTGCAACTGGAACTCCAACGTCATGAGAGAGAAATGCAAGAACGCTGGGGATCTCGGGCAAGTTTTTCTTTTCTGGCCCAGGCAACAGCTTTGGTCTTTCATATCCTTTTTCTTACTGCTGAGAACATGGCCATGACGGAGTGGGAAGGCTGCAAAAACACGAGGACTCCGTTCATACACAGAACTGACTTAGGCCAGGGTGTGGACAGGGGAAGGCTATTAATACAAGATATCCTCAGCCGTGACAGTGGCCTCTTCGATCTTGGTCTTAATCTCAGGGAGGGGAATATGACTGATCGCCACCACGACCAAGTTTGCGGCGTGGGCCGACGCGCTGGCCACGCAGATCCAAAACGACTCTTCGTACTGTTCTTCCAGCACCACAAACTGGAAGAGCTTCTCCTGAAAGTTGGCGATTCGTTCTGTCAGGTCATGAAATTTCACCGCAGCCATGAAGCTGCCTATGGCTAACGCCACGACTCCACCTGAAACCCAAAAAGGTCACCCTCACTCACGGCTCCGTTTTGCGATTGTGACAACTCTGTGAGAGGTGGCATTTCTGTGCCACGTGTGACAAACTTGCTTTGGGTTAGAAAAGTTATGAGGAAGACATAAGTTTTAATCTGCTTTTAAAAGTAGGAGCTAACCCACACAGTATGAAGGAGAAAGGCAGGATTGTGCGGGGAAAGAGAGAATCTGCTTTATATCAGATCAACTTTGAAATTCTACCCCTCCAATTTTTATTTATTTATTTATTTATTTATTTATTTATTTATTTTTAATTTTTTTGAGATGGAGTCTTGCTCTATTGCCCAGGCTGGAGTGCAGCGGCGCCATCTCGGCTGGCTGCAACCTCCACCGCCCGGGTTCAAGTGATTCTCCTGCCTCAGCCTCCCAAGTAGCTGGGACTACAAGTGCTTGTCACCACACCTGGCTAATTTTTGTATTTTGAGTAGAGACGGGGTTTCATCATGTTGCCCAGGCTGGTCTCAAACTCCTGATCTCAAGTGATCCATTCGCCTTGGCCTCCCAAAGTGCTGGAAATACAGGCGTTTGAGCCACTGCACCCGGCCCACTCTTCCAAGTTTTCCCCTTACCAAGTACCATGCTTCCTGGGGATCCACATTTGGAGAAGTTCATTGTCTAAAATGTCTCAGGATTTCTATGAAGACTGTGAAGGCTATGTGGCAAGATGTAAGAAAAACTGTTGCTCTCCTCTTCAATTATCCTCCTTCCATGCTTAAGGACAAGGATGACCACTCACAGAAGGAGGAAAGGAGGGAGGCGAAAACTGGAAGAATTCCAAACTACTTCCCTATGTTTTGCTTGAAACTTTGACCTTCTGGGAGGAATCTAACTCTCTCTCTCTCTCTCTCTCTCTCTCCCCGCCCCCCAGAGTTTCAATTTTAATTGATATTTTTAATAACACATTTGTGATGCTTCTTAAAAGATTATTATCTTCATCGAAGAAAAATTTGGACACTAGAGAAAATCATAAACAAATTTACTTTTATCCTAAAAGCCAGCATGAACACTTTCAACATTTGACTGTTTTTCTTTATGTTTCTTTCTCTTTAACAAAATTAGTATTATGGTGTTCTTACTTGGATTTTAAATTTGATCTTTTCCCCTCACTTGGACATTTTTACGTGTTGCTAAATATTCTGTTACAGCACGACTTTATTGTTTGTTTGTTTTTTTTTTTGAGACAGGGTCTTGCTCTGTCATCCAGGATAGAGTGCAGTGGTGTGATCATGGCTCATTGCAGCCTTGACCTCCTGGGTTCAAGCGATCCTCTTGCCTCAGTCTCCTGAGTAGCTGGGATCATGGATGTGTGTCACCATGCTTGGCTAATTTTTGGTTTTTGTTTGTTTGTGGAGATGGGGTCTCACTACGTTGCCCAGGCTGGTCTTCAACTCCTGGGCTCAAGCAATCCTCCCACCTCAGCATCCCCAAGTGCTGGGATTACAGGCATGAGTCACCGTGCCAGGCTTACAGCATGACTATAAATGAGTGCATAGTATTTTATGCACTACACACTATAATTTATGTGGGTATTTTTAGTAAAGACTAAACAGTTTCTACTAAATTATAGATATACGGTCACACACTATAATTTATGTAAGTATGACCTTATTTCTGGGTGTCTATATTACTTCTAATTTTTGATATCATAAAGTGCTACAGCAAATACCATTTTATGTACATCCTTGTTCTCTCGTCGAGTATTTCCTTAGCATAAATCCAAACATGGAATTGTTTAGTCCAAATATATGCAAAGGCTATTCACCTTTTTCTGCCTTTAGACACTGCAGTGTTTTTGTTTTTTTTAAGCTCAGTGGCAAGAAATAAAGTTTTGTCAAAAGACATTAAGTTTTACCTGTTTTTATTTTTATTTTTTTTGAAACAAGGTTTTGCTCTGTTGGCTGAGGCTGGAGTGCAGTGGCATGATCATGGTTCGCCACAGCCTGGACCTCCCAGACTCAAGCAGTTCTCCCACCTCAGCCTCCCTAAGTGTTGGGATTACAGTTCCCAAGTAGCCGAGACTGCAGGCGCCTGACACCACGCACAGCTAACTTTTTTATTTCTTATTTTTGTAGAAATGGGGTCTTGCTATGTTGCCCAGGCTATTTTGCCTGTTGCTAATCTCTCATCAGTAGAGTTTGAGAGTGCTATCTCTCTGAGGAAAGAAATGGACAGAGATAAGCATTTATTGAAAGCAGGGTTGAGCACTTTTTACATGCCAGCCTCTGTGAGGATGCATGCAGATGAGAAAGACACCTGTAGTCTTGATGAGGGCGAGCCATGTATATAAACAATTCTACAGGGTGGCTACCATCTGCAAACAAAGGCAAACACATAATAATTGACTTCTTGATATACATTATAATACATAATAAAATAACACTACCTGTTTTTATATTTTATGATATTCTTGTATAAGGTAATCATAGTGAGGGGTTATTATCTGAATGGTACCTTGAATATTTGACCTGAGTTTTCAGAGATAGCCCTCATTTCACAAGATTCTGTTATTTTCATTACAGATGATGTGTTAAGTGCATAATTAAATGTGAATTAATTTCTGTGCATCAATATACTCCCAAATCAACATGCATGCGCGCACACACACACATTTTTTAGTTTTTGGCTTGGAAAATAGGTCATGATGGTCATAAACGAGAGCATGGATCTGTGCAAAAATAAAGAGCTTAGAATCAGTTATGCCTAGATTGGAATACCACCTCTGCCACTCATTGCTGTGTGACTGTTTAACTTCTCTGAGCCTCAGGCTCTTCATCTGTAAACGTGGGTCTAATAATACCTCCTATAGAGATGTGGTGAGATGTAAACAAAATAATGCATGCAAAATCCCCAGGTCCATGCCTAACTCTTAGTGGCTGCTCAGTAAGTTGCATCTAGTTTAAGGGCATGGTGCAGTGAAGGTGCTGGGAAGGTGAGAGGAGGGAGAGTTGAGACAGCCAGCGAGCCCTGTCTGCATTAATATGCCCAGGTGTGTGGGGGGGAACACTAAAGACCTTGGCAGCTAGATGGCATTCACTTCCCCTTCTTAACCCAGAGCCTGAATGGAGGAGCCTTTCACAAATGGCCTCTTGCTCACAATACCCTTCTCTTCTGTCGTTTGTGGAGTTCCTCCCAGCCTCAACTGCAGCACCAGCTCCATCTCTTTCCCCGTCCCAAGGCCCCCACCTCTCCCTGCTTTCAGCTCTCTGTCTTCTGGCTTCTCCGTTCACCTCGATCTCTCTTTACTGCTCTAAGTCCTCAGCCATTCACGTACTCTAATAAGATGGTTCTTTATTGTGACAGACTCTGCAACTTAAAGAGGAAATTCATGAGCACTTTGGGAGGCCAAGGAAGGCGGATCCCTTGACCTCAGGAGTTTGAGACTAGCCTGGGCAACATGGTGAAACCCCATCTCTACAAAAACTACAAAAAATTAGCTGGGCATGGTGGTGCACGCCTGTACTCCCAGCTACTTGGGGGCCTGAGGTGGGAAGATCACTTGAGCCCAGGAGGTCAAGGCTGCAGTGAACTGAGATCGCACCACTGCACTCCAGTGTGGCTGACAAAATGAGACCCTGTCTCAAAAAAGAAAAAGAAAAAGAGGACATTCATTCCATGCCCATCAAGAAGGTCTTAGGAAAGTCAAAGCTCCAGTGGCACATTTTAGTTCCTTCACACCTTCTGCCCAACTACTTGGAGCCCAGCCCTGTGATGGTGTGGACACAATTTTCTCTCCCTAAGGGACTTCTTACCTGCCAGGACATTCCATAGGCAGATACCCCCAGGACCGTTGACTGCCCGGTATGGGACCTGGATCATGTTGAGAATGGCAAAGCCCATGCTGACCAGAGCCAGGGCCAAGGCCAGGAAGAGGAGCAGCAGAATCATCACATGAAGGCCTGCATTGAGCTCCTTCACCAGGTGTGGAAAGACTAGGGAGACAAGACACAGCCGCTATTTCAATATCAGAGTTAGAGTCACTTTCATAAAGCCCAAGCTTGCTTACCACGAAGGCTTCAATAGACAGGGGTGAAGGCAAGACAGCAAGTATGCGGTTTTCAAACAGCGGGAGATTTTCTGAGACAAACTCATGGCCCCCAGATTCATGCCTGTCAGTTGATCAACAAGCCTCTCTTCCTTGGAGCGGACACAAAATCAAAATGTGTCCTGGCTGTCAGTTTAAGCTGCACCGAGCTTGAAGCTCTGGGGTCTGATGTGAACTGATGTACACAGGCCCCAGTGACTCCACAAGGTAGACCCTTGCTTACCCCCATGTATGAAGGACATATAATTCTCACATTGCACAACATTTTATTAAAATATTAATTTGCCTTACGAATATGGCAAAATAAGTTAGTGAAATCTTAATTTCTATTTGTTTTCTCTATGTTTGCCATTAGTACTGGCTGTGAAGATGAAATGGCGTAGCATAATAGAGTAGCTCAAATATTGCCTGGTCAAGTCAGTTCTCAAAAATGGCAGCTGTGGTTATTGCTGTTATATTTTGATGGTTTTGGGAAAGTCATGTGACTTCTCAAGCCTCAGTTTCTTCATCAGTACAATGGGGATAGTAATCCGTGCAGATGAATTGAGGATAATCAACATTTACTAAGTGCAGTCATGGGCCAAACATTTTACATGGTCATCTTGTTCAATGCACATGACAAAGACATGAGGTAGATTTTATGAACTCCCTTTACCCACAGGCTTGGAGACATTAAATTGCTTGTGTTTGGGCAAGGCAACTCTAGACTCTATATAAGATTTATAATTCAATATACTATGAGAACAAATGTGACCCTGAAAGAGCCAGTCCTTCAAGATGGGTCCTGAGTGGTTAACTGGGTCTAAATTTAAAATAGGGCCAAGTGGCCATTTACTGACTAGGGGGTCACACACATCCTCTGAGTTCCTTGAAAACCCACACCTTTTTATCTTTGAGATTTGCCTCAGTTAATCAGGGCTCAGCTGTAATGACCAATCAGGGCTCAGCTGTATCAGCTAATCAGGGTTCAGCTGTATCGACCAATTAGAACTAAGTGAATTTGAATCCTTTATTTACATAAACAGACCTGATTGGAAACCTGCGTGGGAACTTTTGCTGTAAAACCTGAGCCTTCCCTTTCTTCTCTGGAATACACCTTCCTTTTACACCAGAGGCTGTGTTTCCCTGGTTTGCAAACTGTTAACTGGAATAAAGTCTTTCCTCAAAATTCCTTTTCTGAGAACTGTTGTTCACAACTGTGTGTTTTAACAGTGTCAAGTCATGATCTTTAGTAGTTATAAATGAAGAATTGAACATTATGAAAGCTACAGAACTTCTGAGCATACTCATTCCTCTGCAATTGCTCCAAGGTTCCTGCTGAATACCCATCTGATGGAACCAGTTCCTTTGCTGGTTCACCCGCCTCTCTCAGTCACTGAAGGTTGGCGTCTCCCAATCCTGAGAAGTAGAGTTTTTATTTTTCCCATTAGGTGTCCTTTCCACTCACATGTTTTCAGGCACTCCACGTTTACACTGTAAGTTCTGATGTTTCTTTCCAGTTCTGAATTTCCATTAATTTTTATCTCCCTATGGTTATCTAATCGGCATTGGAAACTTTACCCTGGAAGATGAGCTCCTTTCCAGTGAGTTTGTCTTTGTAAAGCATCTTTCTTCCCTGTGCCTCTGTCCCATCTTAATGTCCCTTAGATTTTTTTTTTCTCTTTTCAAACCCTCAGCCCCTTTCTGTTTCAGACACAGTAGCTTGTGCCTGATTTTTATTTATTTTTATTTTTGAGACAGAATCTCGTTCTGTTGCCCAGGCTGGAGTGCAGTGGCACCATCTCAGCTTGGTGTAACCTCCTCCTCTCTGATTCAAGCAACTCTCATGCCTCAGCCTTTCCAATAGCTGGGATTACAGGCACCCACCACCATGCCTGGCTAATTTTTGCATTTTCAGTAGGGGGGGTTTCACCATGTTGGCCAGGCTGGTCTCGAACCCCTGGCCTCAAGTGATCTGCCCGCGTTGGCCTCCCAAAGTGCTGGGATTACAGGCATGAGCCACCAGACCCAGCCGCTTGTGCCTGATTTTTAAATTGTTTCATTATCCCCTTTCTTGACCAGGCAATCCTTAGGACACATGACTAACATAGTAATGCTCACGCAAACTCTTAAAATAGAAAACAGTCACCTATGTGAATGGCAGAGATGAAAATGTTTGCTAACACACCGTGTTGACAATGGTGTAAGGAAGAGGCACTCTCAAGTCTCGTAGAAATATTAATTCATGTAACCTCGTTAGAGGGCAATTTGGCAACATCTACTAAAGCAAATTCACTTCTAGGACTTTATTTTCCAGAAGCACTCCTACATGTGCTCAAAGCATGGATCAAATATTGGATATTCATTACAATAGTGAAAGATTGGAGAAAAAACAGTATGTGAATAGATTGATTTAATAAATTAAGGTGGCCGGGCGCGGTGGCTCACGCCTGTAATCCCAGCACTTTGGGAGGCCGAGACGGGTGGATCACAAGGTCAGGAGATCGAGACCATCCTGGCTAACATGGTGAAAACCCGTCTCTACTAAAAATACAAAAAACTAGCCGGGCGCGGTGGCAGGCACCTGTAGTCCCAGCTACTCAGGAGGCTGAGGCAGGAGAATGGCGTGAACCCAGGAGGCGGAGCTTACAGTGAGCCGAGATCGTGCCACTGTACTCCAACCTGGGTGACAGAGCGAGACTCTGCCTAAAAAAAATAAAAAATAAAAATAAAATAAATTAAGGTATCCATAATGTCCATAATGTACACAATTCATCTTTTAAAAAGAAAGAATCATATCCACATAATGATTGAACCCCTATCCAGATTTGATTTTAAAAAATTGAGTAATAACCATATTAGATGATGGGGGAGAGGGAATTTGGGGCATATGGAGTGATGTGGAGAGGGAGGTAAAGAGTGCCCAGTCCTCGGTCTTCATAGTAGGAAGCGCATTAACTATGTTTACAAAATGCTTTTTGGCAAAGGGCAAATCTCATTCAACCGCCACATTCTTGTAACATAACTCACGGCTCAGACCTCACGGTTAATTGCGATTTTATTATTTTTTAATATACGTCATTATTTAGAAATTCGAGGCTGGGGCGGTGGCTCATGTCTGTAATCCCAGCACTTCTGGGGGCCGAGATGGGGGGATTACTTGAGGCTAGGGGTTGGAGATAAGTCTGGGCAACATAGCAAGGTTCTGTCTCTAACTTAAATTATTTTAAAAAAAGAAGAAAAAAATAGAAATTTGAATCATGTCTCAGGAGTGTTCATGCACCAGTTCTTTCTACTTTCTTTCTGAGGGGTGACTCTGCCTTAGCCTGACACCCAGTGCTGCCCTAGGAAAGCTGTTGTTCACTTGCCTTTCATATTTGAAACCCAGACTCCAAGAGTTTTAGGTGTCTCCCACTAGGAATTACATTTAAGTTTCCTGCTTGAAATCTACGACCTTACACACTATTCATGGTGATAAATGACAACACATGATTCACTGTGAAAAATGACAACCGCCACCTATATGGGGTGCAGACTATGTGCCGGTGGCTTTATACATATTCTTTGTTTTGTTGCTCATGGACACCCTCTCTCACACTTACAAATGAGGAAACTGAGGCTCAGAGAAGTGAAATAGCTTAGCCTCGCTCCCATAGCAAGAAAGTGTCAGCTTAACTACTCTATTACAGGGCCAGAGCAGAAAAATCAGAAAGCACAGATAATTAGAGGTTTAAAATTCAAAATATAGAGTCTTGAAATCTGGAGGTCTTATTTTGAATTTGAATAGATATAGTTGTTTCCTACGCACTAGAGGTAACTCACTTGAATACCAGAATTGATTAATCATTCTATCAGCATCTAAGACTATTAGATAATTTGTTTGCTCTGAATCCCAGAGAGGTCTGGCAGCCCTTTTTGCCCCAGCAGGGCAAATAAGAAAAGCAGGACATCTGAAGTCAAACCCAGGTCCTGGCCACTAGTGGAATACCTGTGGGGTAGGAAGTAGAGAGGAACCACAGAACTAAAAGCTGCAAAGCAGTCTATTACATTAGGTGTTTTTAAATAAATTATTTTATGTATTGATTTCTCTGATCTCTAATTTCCTCACCAGTAAAATGGGTGTAATAAAATCTCTTCTCTAGCACAGTAAAAATGGAAGGAAATGAACTATAACGCAGTGGCTTCAGATACTGTGTTCTGTGCCTAGTACATATTTACCTGCTTCTCCTTTATCAGATGGTACACTTTTCTTTTTTCTTTCTTTCTTTCTTTTTTTTTTTTGAGATGGATTTTCACTCTTTTCACCCAGGCCGGAGTGCAATGGCACAATCTTTGCTCATTGCAACCTCCACCTCCTGGGTTCAAGTGATTCTCCTGCCTCAGCCTTCTGAGGAGCTGGGATTACAGGCACCTGCCACCACCCCTGGCTAATTTTTATTTTTAGTAGAGACGTGGTTTCACCATGTCAGCCAGGCTGGTCTCAAACTCCTGACTTCAGGTGGTCCAGCTGCCTTGGCCTCCCAAAGTGCTGGAATTACAGGAGTGAGTCACCGTACCTGGCCAGATGGTAAACTTTTCTAGGGCAGGTACTTGTTTATTTTGTTCATCCCTGTTTTCCTAAGAGTCTGGTCTGTAAATACGCCATAGTACAATTGAATGTGTGGACAATGCTAAAGTAATGTTTGTCTCTTTCTTTCTCTAGCCACCCAAACAGCCACGTTGACTTGTTTTTATTTCATAGGGCCTGGGTATTAAAAAAAGGGCCTTAATCTTTGTGATGAATAGATCTTTGGTTTTCTTCATGGTTGGTGTGGGAATTGATTCCCCTGGGTGATTTTTTGGGGAGACCTCTGTGATGGGAGAAGTGGCTGTTTGTGAACGAGACTCAGTAAAACCTCCCCACCCCACAGTTTACAAAGCACTTTCACTTTTATTCCCATCTACACTGATCTGTAACTGCGGGGATTTTTTTTTTTTTTTTTTTTTTCCTACAGATGGATAGTGAATGGCAGAAAGAGACTCCAGGAGAAAAAGACTCCAGGTTGTGGGAGGCTCTGATATACCCCGTAGCTGCCTCGAGGTTACATTGTGCTAGAATTAAAAGCTGTAAATCTAAAGGAGACTAGACTTGGCACTAGAGAACCTTATAATATCAGTGTCCCCGAGCTGTATCGGGGTAAAGCCAGCCAAGCACAGGAGGAACCTGGCCCCAGGCTCCTCCTGAATGCTTTGAAAGAGAATCACATCCAAGGTACTGTGAACAGATGTTTATAGACCCTCCTCTAAGACAACCCCAGGGCAGCAGGAAACAAAACCTTCTCAAATACTCTCCTACTCAGGGACAAGAATAAAATGTCCTTTATGCTTCTCACAGGGTTCTGATGCTTTCCAGACCAGAACATGTTAGACGAACCGAAAACGTTTCCCATGGATGTCCTAAGAAGGAAGGAGGAGGAAGGCAAGAAGTACTTACTGAATTCCTCCAAGGCTCAAACAAAATACGTATTTGTTTGCAGCTTCCCACTCAAAGCAGTTTACATTTCTGTGAGCTGGGAATGGCAGGTGTCTAGTCATTAGGTTAATGCTGGCATGTGACTGCTGTTTAATCTTCTCACCCTATTCAAGTTTCAACAATTGTCCTGTTGGGGTTCAGAATCCAATACCCACCAAATACGAAGCTTTGTGAAGGAGCCTCAAGGTCTCTCTGGCCTCCCCCTCTCCCTCCTGTCTCTCCATTCTTTGTCTGTCTAAAGCATGAGATGAGGTAGTTTTCTGACGTTCCCTTACCTGCCTACGTCCAAGCCCACTGAAGAAAAAGACCTCTGGTCCCTTTCCTGAGTGTTCGTTAATTGTACCCATATCACAGGAAGGAAGACTGAAGTCTGTTAACACAGCTGGACAGACTTTTGTCACAAGCCAATGTCTGCCCTGTGGGCCCAACAGACTTTGTCCCAGCTCATTGTATGTTCTGCAAGCCCATTGAATTTCCCTAAAAATAATTTACTAGTCCCCTAAAATCATCCACACTTCCCCATCTCCCTTTCCCCTAAGATGAAGAGGATATAACCATCTGTACCCCATTGAGATAGCGGACAATCACTCTGTGATTTTCCCCTATGCGTGCTAATAAATGTGTATGCCATTTTCCCTATTAATCTGCCTCTTGTCAGTACATTGTTTAAAGAACCTTCAGAGCGCAAAGGGGAAGTTTTCCCTTGGCTCTTACAGTCCTGATGACATCCTTTATAGCAATAGCATCTAGTTCAGAATCGAGTAGTCCCTATAGTTGTCATGGTTAGCTTTTAGCGTTTCTTTTTTTAATTTCTTTATGGTGTATATTTTCAAGTTTTATGTTATAATTTTGATGAAGCTATTTTTTCAATATCCAGGGTTTAATCTAATTGCTAGGCAAATATAAATATGCCCAGAGATATTGTTCTTGAATATACATAACAAATATAATCTTTTTGTGTATTTAAATGACAATTTGTATTATATTTGCCAACGGTTCCAGCTTTTTGTCCTTATAAATTTAATATGACATTTACCTTGGCCAGATATCTATAAACTACTACAATTCTGACATATAGAAATCAAGGAATGAATACAATTCTGTGTCACCTTGCATTGGCATGGTATTGATTAATTACGGTTTTGTATGGACACTGTTTTCACCAGCGATCTCATCGATTCAAAAGGCTTGTAGAATATTGCCTGTTTTGTTTTTTCCTTCCCAGAAGCCCATTCCTAAGCCTAGCTTGGATTCCTGTTTGTGCAGACTGCTCTGCTTACATCCTGGCCAGCTCTGATGCCACACTGAACACCAGCCAAAGTCTATGCCCGCTCACGTTCACAGAGAGCAGGCAAGTGCCTTGCTTGAGGTCTCCCTGCCAGGAAACTTTTCAGTAGGGGTTCCAGCCGGGGTAGTCTGATTCCAGAACCCATGCACAGTGCCCCTGTGCACTTTCTCAGACTATGCAGTTTTTACAAAAGTAGATGTGGAAGTGTTCATCATGCTTCCCAAAGGTTCAGTTCTGCAGGCAGCCTCCACACACTTGTGGTGGTCACGTGGCACTGGTCTGGAGTCCGGCCCTACTGTTTCCTGGCTGGGTGACCTCAGGTAAGTTATGTAACCTCTCCAAGCCTCAGTGTACTCCTCTGGAAAATGGGAACATTAACAATTCCTTCTATATAAGTTTGTTGTAAGTCTTTAAGGAGACAAGTGGTGTGAGGTACTTAGTAGAATGTCTGACACATGTAAACCCCCCATGTTTCAATAGTCATTATTAATAGAGGTAACCTGCAAAAATGCACAAATCCTTATTTCTATCTAATGTTTCTATACACCTCTACAGAAAAAGAAAAGAAGGAAGGAAGGAAAGATCTTTTTGATGTGGGTCCAGAACCCTTGGCTCACTGTGGACTTTGACATTATGCCTGAGATTGAGGCAGCAGCCAAATTCCACAATGAGACAAAAGCACTCTTACACAGTAACAAAAATAAGTGCCTAGAAACAGCTTTCATGCCCCCAATATACTTACTCGTGAATTGGGACTGGCGGCTCCCAAGCCCACACTGCCGCACCTTACACCCTTGGAAGAGCCCGTAGTAAATGTCCCCAATGAACTTGACCAGCTCTCTGTCTGTGGCGTTGACCAGATCCACTCCAGTCTGACAAAGGATTTTTCCACTCAGCCAGTGGGGCACTACCAGGGCAACGATGATCAGGATGAAGGAGGAGAAGCTGAGTAAAGACGCCAGCCCATACCACGCCTTTTTGAACCATCCAGGCATGCTAGTGGGTGCAGGTCATCCCCAAGGTCTCCGAGCAGCAGCGAGGGTCGTTGACATCTTTCAGATACTCGGCAATGCTCTGCTCCAGGTCAGCTCTTCCAAACACTCTATTTCAAGATTTTAAGTCCATCCCCTCGTCCTCCTTCAGCACAAGCTTGCACAGTCCATGTTTACTATAACCACATCCGGAAGCCTCTACAGAGACAATCTTCACCTGACTATGTAGCGGAGTGTGTTACTGAAGGAAGTAACCTTATATCTCCTCCTAGACTAATGTTTCAGCAGAGGGTTTAATTGTTCCTCTTTCAAGTATTTAAATAGCCCTGGTGTGGACCTCATAGTGATAAAGGAGTTAGTAATAAGCAAAACCAAGTAGCTCTGATGGTAAAGAGATGCAAACCAATCTCAAAAAATGCATATGGTAGAAGGAAAACAAAAATGGAATGATTAGCACCTGAATATCGCCAACAATGCGCAGTGTCAAATGTCGATCTCTCTGATGCGTGGGTGTCCTGGCATTTCTTTCTCTGAAATGTCACTGCTGTCAGAATCTTTAGGACTGTTATTAATACCATCAAATGACCCTGGTTCTTGGGGCTTTAATACTGAAATATGTAAATAGGGTCTTATGAATTTCTCACTGTGTGAATCTGCTGGGGGTAAATTGTGACTAGAATTAATTTGTGGCTGTTGGGACAGCCTAGAATCCAACACTTAACATTCCTCTCCCCTGCACCTCCTTCTATGTTATCTGAAATGGGACAGAAAAGTGTTTTTCTAGTGTATTAGCAAATAGTAGCCACACTGCTGGAGTATTGAACTCTTCTAATAGTGGAAGATCTAGGTTTTCCTTTTAATCTGTAGACACTAGGAATGAAATGTTCTTTCCTCTCTATCTTATACTGTAGACTTTGACATTTTGACTTTTACCTTATTCCTGAATATCAACTTAACATCATGTGAGACTGGCAACAGCCGCTCTGTCCATGTCTCTGGGGAGCAAAGTTGGGCAGAAGTGGAGCAGTAAAATTTTGTAGTTGGTCACAGAAGCCTGAAGGGGGGTTCAGGAAGTTGCACCGTTAACCAACAGGGGTCCCAGGAATCTCACTTGGAGAGTGTCAAGGAAGCAGAGGGACATATTAATGGAAATGTCAGTTTCCTTCCTTATAATTGGGGCTCACTTCAGTGGCCTCTCCACAATGAAAATAAAGATGAGAATTTCTGAGCCTGGGCAATGTAGTGAGACCTTATCTCTACAAAAAATAAAAAAAAATTAGTTGGGCCTGACGGTGTGTATCTGTAGTCCCAGCTACGGGAGGCTGAGGCTGGAGGATTGCTTGAGCCCAGGAGCTCAAGGCTGTAGTGAGCTATGATCATGCCACTTTGAGTAACAGAGCGAGATCCTGTCTCTCTATCTCTCTATAGAAAGGTGAGTGGCACTTTACCATGTACAAAATGCTTTGACGGTATGCTTGCTCACCTCTGATGCTTCAACAACCCTTAATGGTAAACAGGAGATGTACGATTTCAGCCATTTCTCTCACGGAAAACTGGATGTCGGTGCTGGGGCTGAAATTCGGGTCTTTGAATTACAACAGCTCATCTTCATCCAAGTGACTTTGAAACAGCAAATGTTTTTCCGATAAAAAATAACAGAACACATATAAAAGGCTCAGAAGACTGCTTGGCACATTAATAAGTGATCAATAATGTTAGTTCACATTCTTATTTTAACATTAAGCATGCTTTAACAGGTCATCCATAAATATCGAGTCATATTTCTGCCGTCAGTGATGGACCTGTGTCAACTTCTGGTGTTTTGAGGGTTAAGCAATTGTTTTCAGAAAAACTCTAAGGGAAATACTTGATTCCCAACAAGCCTTTGCCTTGCTGAACAAAGGTGTGGTTAAGTGGAACTCTAGCCATTGAAGACCTGGGTTCAAATTCCCACTCTTCTGGACAAGTGTCTGAGACTCTCATGCCTCAGCTTTCTAATCTGCATACGATTATCGTGTGGAGTAAAATGAAATAGCGCAGGCAGATCACTTAGCACAGTGCCTTGGATATAACGGGCACTAAATCGACGGTGCTTTCCTCTCCACCCAGCCTCCTAGCAGTTCTATTTCTGATAATGAAGCTTCTGACAACAAAATGTGCTGCTGGCTGCATCCTCTTCTCTAGTGACATATTTCTGTGTGCTCTACCTGGCACAAGTTTACTGAACAAACATCTGTGTCTGCTGTGTACAAGGCTCTGTGTGTGGGAAGTGGCACAAAGATGTATATAATACAGGGTTCTGCTACCAAGAAAGTTATGAGAGTGTTAGAGCTCTGGTTCTCTATCAGTGATGAATTTCCCCCTAGGAGGCAACTGGTAAAATGTGGAGATATTTTTGTCATGAGTGAGGGGTAGGGGCTAGCTATTGACTTCTAGTGTATGCAGGCCAGGGATGCTGAAAATATCCCACAATGCCCAGGGCAGCACCTGTCACAAATAATTATCTGGCCCAAAATGTCAGTAGTGCTGTAGTTCAGAGGCTCTGAGTTAGAGATACAGGCCATGGGCAGAAATAACTAATATACATGGGAGAAAATGCCAGGATCTGTGTCTGACGATGAGTTTCATGTGGTAAAAAGGCCATTTGGATTAATGGGTATAAATGTACGGTTAGATAGAAGAAATAAGACCTAGCGTGGTTTGTCTCGTCTCCGCAGCGAACTTTCAGCTCCTTGAGCCTAGCGACCTCTTCCGTTTTTTTTGGCAGGTAGGGATATTTAAATCTCTATTTTGATGCACAATTAAAAATAAAAAATTGCCCAGTGGTCGAAAATTGTACTATACTATATTTCACATGCTTACACTTCACAAATTAATGCTCGTAAAACACCCGCTCTCCACCCTCCTGGCCCTTAGCCCCATTCGCTGCACGCCCCGGGTCTCAGCACTTGCCCGCGGGTGGGAGGCGGGGCTTCGCCAAATCCCCGTCCCCGGGGCAGGGCCTGACCGAGGTTACAGTCACTCCGGGTGGCGGGGCGCCCCGAGCGTGGCAGCGCGCTAGGCGGCAGCAGCGGGCGCGGAGCGGGACGCGGCCGCCGCGCGTTCCCTCTTGGCGGGGTTGGCCGGCCGGGGCGGGGCGGGGCGCGGCGCTCGGGCTCGAGGCAGTCGGAGCTGCGGTAGCCAGGCCCGCCAGGAGCAGGATGGCGGCGGCTGCTGCAGGCGAGGCGCGCCGGGTGCTGGTATACGGCGGCAGGGGCGCGCTGGGTTCTCGATGCGTGGAGGCGTTTCGGGCCCGCAACTGGGTAATGGCTGCGGGCTGGGAGCTGCTGGGTCTCCGCGGGGGTGGCTAGGGCTTTCGTGTGGAGCCCGACGGGGGCAGTCTAGAGGAAGCTGGGTGCCCCTGTGCGCCGCTTGACCCGTGTTGCTTGCACGTGCGCGCACAGGTCTCGCGTCTATACCTGTTTCCGAGTGCGTGCGCACGCCAGTCCCAGGGCGCTGGGCCTTTGCTCTCCAAGGAGGTGCTCCCTGGGCCTCCACCAGACCCAAAAAGTCCGGCGTGACTCGGAAGAGAATTCCAAAGGGGAGGGACGGGAGCGGGGGTGAGAGGACGGAGAGAGAGTGTAAAAGGGAGGCTTTGGAATGAGACAGCCCAGTCCCGGTTACTAGTCGTGAGACCGCGTATTGATTACTTAACGCCCTAGGACCTCAGTTTCCCCATTTGTAAAATGGAGATTCTGATAGAGTTGTGAGGATTAGATGAGATAATTGGTGTCGTTGCACATAAATTACCTGACGCCTGGTAAAAACTGTTTAAATGCTGGTTATTAATGTTACTGTTACTACCCACCCCTGTTCTTTTAGCCCCCTTGGATCTGACAGTTTGAAGTCTCAGCATGGAAAAACGCTGACGGCTTCTTTGCTTTGCAAAGACTATTTCAACTACTTTGCATAGTCAGGTGTCAGTTTCCAGGAGGCAGCAAGTCGGAGCAGAGCTGATCCATGGCCAAAGACCCTTGACCCCAGCCACTCAGCAGGCCTCAGCACTTTCCCGGTGGAGACCCTGCCAGGGGCAGCGTTCTGGGAACTTAGCAGCAGCAGCAGCCTGGGCAAGAGTTCCCCTGGGACCAGAAAAAGGATCTCAGGATTTTCTTTAAAAAAAACAAAAAAAAACAAAACAAAAAAACACTTATCTAATTTTTATAGATTTAGGGGCACAAGTACAGTTTAGTTACATGGCTATGTTGTGTAGTGGTGAAGTCTGGGCTTTTAGTGTAACCATCACCCAAATAGTGTACGTTTATCAAGGTTTTCTCCTTTCTCAGAATCTGGTACAGGAATATGCTTCTAAATAATTCAGTCACACCACTCCCTTCCTGCCACCCATGTGCTCAGAGCCTGGGGACACTGATGAGGGCGCTTTCCCAGGTCTTCAGGAGATGTATGCTGGTGACAGAGGCAGCACTTCTGCCAAGGGCCAGGCACTGTGCTCCCAGTACCAGAGTTCCCATAGACTCTTAATGCTCCCAATAACTTTAAGGTAGTAGATCCCGTTAGCGTCATGTGTTAGAGGGTGAAGGCTGTGCTTTCTCCTGGTGGTGGCACTTGGTCTTGGCAGAATCTGGAGAGCTGGTTTACCTCTGGCTCTTGGTCTTTCTACTCCAAATTCTTCCTGCCATCTTAGGGAGGGCTAGGATGATGGAGACTTTTCATTGTTTCAGAATCCCCCGTGGGATAACAAGTTAATTAATAATATAACAAATATTGATGAATAGATGCTGTGTTTACAGCTTATGGTAGAGATAATGATCTCTGCGGACTTCAGACCAAGAGACCCTGCCTGAGTGAGGACTGAGCATCACCTGTGCCAGGAGCTTTATCTTCTTCCATTTCATTTAATTCTTACACTGCCCCTGTTAATCATCAACAAACAACCTCTTTTGTTGGGAACCTCTGCCCAACATCGGAGTGAGAAAGCCATTTGGCAGAGCTGGGATTCAAACCTGATCTGATTTCCAATCCTAAAACCCATCCCTCTCTGCTGTAGGGCAGGGATCCTCTGTGGGCTGAATCTGGTCTGCCACCTATTTTTGTGCAGCCCAAGAGTTAAGAATGGTTTTACATTTTCAGGGGGTTGAAAGTAAAATCAAATGAGGAAAGATATTTTGTTTTATGTGAAAATTATATGAAATTCACATTTCAGCTCTGAAGATGTATTGGAACACAGCTGCACTTATTTTTTCCCCCTATTTATTGCTGTGTTCTGTTACAATTGCAGATTTGGGTAACAGCAGGGTTTGTGTTTTAGAGGTGAATGTGGAGGAGGAGGGGAGTGTTTGGAGGTAGGAGGTCCTGGGATGGAGCCCAATATGGGGTAGGCTGGCCAAAGACAGGTGTCCCTGGAACGTGTGCGAGAGGTCGGTTGCTAGTTTCTTTCTCTGGTGAGTTTTCATTTAAGCTTCTTACCTGTCTCCTCCACTCTCCTTTCTTTTTCTTTTCTTTTTTTTTTTTTTTTAAATGGAGATAACGCCTCCTTCTGCCGCCCAGCCCGAAGTACAGTGGTGCGATCATAGCTTACTGCACTCTCCAACTCCTGGGCTCAAGTGATCCTCTCGCCTCAACCTCCCCGGTAGCTGGGACTACAGGCATGTGCCACCACACCTGGCTAATATTAGCATTTTTTGTAGAGACCGGGTCTTGCTGTGTTGCCCAGGCTGGTCTCAAACTCTTGGCCTCAAGAGATCCTCCCACATCGGCTCCCAAAGTGCTGGGATTACAGATGTGAACCACTACATCTGGCCAACTCCCCTCATTTCTGTGTGACTCTTTCATGGA